CGCACTGTCATATTCAATGCGGGTTTACCTCCATCACATGGCTGAAATCGTCCGTAAAAAGGTTATAAACCCAATGGCCGCCCATAAAAGACTGCACACCAGCCGACTGAAGAAGGGCTCTTACGCCGTGTTTATAAAAATGGCACGACACCGGTACAGATCAGAATACTTGCTATGAAACCCTCGCACCCTGGGTCAGTTGAGAAAATAACTCCTGGCGCATATGATTGTTTCAAATTCATCCCCGAAACAAAGTATCGCACATAACCCGGATATATAAGAAACAAACTGCAAACGAAGTCACAGAGAAGCCTGTTGCTCCAAAAGTGGTTTGCATTGGAAGGGAAGGCAGGGACGTGACTGAGAAAGGTCTACATAAAAATACCTGAGGCACACACAAAAAAGTAGATTCTTTATATGCGTAGCAGGGAGAGTAGGTGGGGTAAAAGGCGGAACGAAGGTCCCAGTCTGGGAGTCAACTATAGAAGGAAGGCTGGGGAGGGGAGGGAGATACAACGGCAATAGCTGAGAGAAAGAAGTGGGTTCAACACGTCATCCTATCTGCGGAGCCGGCAAATTCAGTCAACCAACGACAGTCACATAAGGATGGTATTCAGCTCGAGGGAGGCCAATGTATGCGTGCAACACGCGGTACCGTCCAATCCAGTAGGGCAGTGGGTATATCGTGCGAGACGGATGCAAAAAATGACAGACTTCGGAGTGGGATGACGCTAAAGTGAGTGTGCAGGGATAGCGACAGGCGTGGGCTGAGGATACGCCCTGCATACCCTCCCCCCGTCGCCCTCTCAGTCTCGCCTTCATCAGACTGACTGTCACAAAGTAAGGTCAGACAATTGGGCACGGAAAGGTGAATCAACCACACCAAACGGGAAGTCTGCTTTCTTTATTTTAACCTCGGTGTGAGTAATTTCGGGCTCGATTTGCCAGACGAGAACACTGCAAGCTTCATTGAATGAACGATTGGCCCTGGTCTGGCCCGCTCAAGTCGGGAGACCTGCAGCGGATTCTTAGTACATCACCTATCAGCCTCGTCTCCAAGGGTGTGGACCATACGCTGTCCGGCCTCTCATTACAAAGCTATTTCAATGGACAGTGAAACTTTAATTTCACTGAGCTATTACGGTGTTCTAGAAATTGTGCCTATGGGAGTTGTTAACTGGCGGGATAGTTGTGAACTGACCGGCACGTTGCAACCGCCTCTTCATAATACAGTCACGTGACAATTCTTGTAGGCGTGATATCCGAGGGAGCGGGGCCTGGCTGGTTTTGGTTGAAGGACAAGTAGCTACGTGACACATAGATGGATACCTCTGCCAAGCCCCCTCCACCGAGCTCGTATCTAACACAGGTAGGTGTGACTTTGTGAGAGGAGGCTGAGACGCAAGCTATCACTGCCCTTCCAGGTCGAGGCGGGCATCGCCGCTTGCGACGGGCGAAATATGCAGATTGTGAATTGACTGATAAGCTTGTATGAAGGTCTCCGGTATTCTGTTTTCCAGTGTCTGCTTGTTAGTCGACAAGACCACCCCTTAGGCCTGACTTAAGGCATCTCTTGTCCAGCTGCGACCACAAATAGGCGCCATCTCATGCGCGTCTATCGGCATGACTTGTCACACTGGGGGGAGGGGGGGACTTATGATAATGCGCTCTCGACTCAGCTCGCATGGCACCAACCAAAATGACAAGAACATACACAGGTGCGTCAACAACACAAAGTTGCTCACACGCTACTGAACGGACGCTTTGTTCAGCCACACAAGCAAACAGCCATCTCAAGGCAACCGGCCCTGTGTGACGAATAAGTAGCCCCTCATAGCTGATTGACTTCTGACGGAACGGACTTAGTATGTGTGCTTAAAGTAGATCTCACGTTATTGACCGTTACAGTTTGAGCCAGATCCTTATTCCTGTGTTGAGCCGAGTTATCCTGCCAGCACAACGCCTGTAACCTTTTAGCTACCACAATCGAGAGGCCGTAGGCGACTTTGCCTATAGCTTCTATCTGATGTATTTCACAATCATGCTCGGACCGCAGCTGTGGAATTGCTATGAAGGCTGCAAAAAGGGGAAGGCACTACGGACTGGCTCCCCAGTCTGGACTTTTAACAAGTCCTTATAGTTTAAACCTTT